AGATTTTATACAACTCCCTCCTTTTCAGGTGCTATGTAATCATCAGGCCAGAGACCTAAAGTAATCCCTTGAATAACAAAGTCAATGAAGGACTTTCAAAGTAGGTCACTAGAGATTTCTCCAGTCCTCATTTTATTTTCAGAGACGTTCTGCCCTGTCTCTCTCTGGGACTTGCATTAGCCATCCTGGAGAACATATTCTCTGGCCCTGTGGAACGCATGTTAGAACCTGTGTTCATCTGACTTGTCAAGAAGCATGCTCTGCTCATGTGTGCCATAATCTGGAAAGAAGTCCTGTTTATGTATTTCTACATAAGGTATACTATATGTAATACACATACATCTTATACCTATTTACAGCACAGTGTCCCCAGTCACTGAATTCTTGGTTTGTCAATTATGGTTCAGAGGGAAGAGCACCACCTACTGGTCCATCTAACCCACTTACAACTTACTGCAACAAACATACTTATTACTTGCTGCAGCTGGGCTTGGTCAATACCCGGAAGGGTGACCTTTGTTTCTCAGATCTGACAAGATCAGGTTACAAAAAAGTAATATTGCTTTTATTGTAATTATGCTCACAACATAAAAAAATAAATTAATATTTTGTCTGTTTCCATGTTTTATATTTTGCTTATAGAAATCATGCAGATATAAAAAGAGTTGTGCTTTAGTCCTGTTCTTTAAAGGACACATACTGTCCCCCCATCACAGTCTAGGCAGATCATTTCATGAGAATGCTAGCCTGTTTTCCAAAGCCACATTTTTGTTCTGAAATGTCTTGGGTCTGTAGGAAACAAATGTCTATAAAAATATTTTGACTAAAAAAGAGATAATGAAACAGTTAAAAAAACATACTGCATACAGTCAGAGAGTTCACACATTGAAACAGATAAGTAAGGGAAATGTTTTTAGTTCTTCTATGTCTGTGAAAACAAAAACATTGGAAAATGTATAGCTATTTCTTTTTGCACAAGCTACATTGCATACGCAGGTAGCTTCAAATTAAATTATAAATCTATTTTTAAATTTATTAAATGTATTAATAAATAAATTAATAAATTATTAATAAATTATTAAGGTCATGCAAGCTGAAAAGCACGAAAGTTTGTTACATAATTTACACTATATTAAATTTATGTAATACAGGTATTCTTAAGGTAAACCTTTCAAATTAAAAAAAATCTCCATAAATATCTGTCATTATGTTTGATTAACTGTGCATTCAATACTTTTTATTTGGTTATTCAAAGTAATTTTATTATATTATTCACATAACTTGTACGTTGTATTGTTAATCCTAATAATCACTGTGATATAGTCAATTATGCAGTTAGGCGTTTTCCTAACTAGATTGTTGTGACAAACTCATACAAAAATTTTATGAGAAATTAATGTGTGCTTCACTTACAGCCACATTTCCTAAAACAAATTCCTGAATCTAGCTCTTTGTGATCTACTTTTGGTAAAATGGTGACACTTGATTAGCTGTGATATTTATGGAACTATCTGGGGAGACTGTTATCTAGATACTGTACGTAATGATGAACACAGAATTGAGCAGTGTTGCGCAGTAGCAAGGGAGAATCTCCTGAAGGGATTAAATGAGCAGCATACAGGTGCCTTTAACAGTGATGTGAAATGCTGATTCTGATAAGTATTTCTAGCTAACTTTATGGTAGTCTGAAATCTGTTACTGACCTGAAGTTTCAAGGTGGAATTTTGTTTAGCTTTGTTCTGTACTTTACCACTTTGTGTTGCCATACACTGAGTAATTAAGTAAAAATGTATTTGTACGTGCTGCTGCTGTAGTGTAGTATTTATGTTTATGAAGCTGTTATTATTCATAGGAATGCATCAATGCTGCCTGTACAACATTGGATTATCAGAAAAATTATAATTCATTTGCCAAGACTGTTGCTCTAAAAATATCTTTGCATAATATATACTGAACATCAAAAGAAACCTGTCTAGAAAGGTTCAGAAAAGCATAACCAGTGAACAGGCATATGCTTTCCTAGACTGTACGAGGTACTATATGTGCAGCTGATATTATTTCCAGCTGTGACTTTCACTACAGACCACCTTTTGATGACAAATGTTAATCAGTATAATGAGTTTACCTTTGTAATGCTTGATTAATAAAATGTCAGTGTGCACTAGAAATCCAATCGAGTACTTTTCCTAAAGCATAAACTTTTGAATTTTTCATAGCAATAAATGCTAAGTTTCCTTTCATACTTACAATATATTCAGTGCTTGGGTCAGTTAAAAAAAGCTTTTAAAAAAGCTTGCTTGGCATAATTGCTGTAACTGTAACTATGCATTGTGAATACACCTGGGCAAGAGGTCAGAATGAAAAGTCCCAGTGGAGAATACCAGCCTTCCCCTCTGTGTTGTCAAGGTCAAAGCAACATGAGGTGTCAGGTGGAATATTGCAAGATGCCAGGACACACCACCTGCTCTCTATTGCCCTTCTCCCTGAAGTGTTAGCTCACACAATTAGAACACCAGGGGTAGAGGAGAAGTAGGTGACCCTTATAATTGGATCTGAGGTTGTTTTACATGTATAAGTACTGTACTGTATATATAACCAGATTTCATTCACAGAGCTCTCAGCCAGGACTTCATCTTTTGTTTAAAGGCTAGGCTGCTGTTCATTGTGATTAACCATTCTGATTACACCCAACTTTCTCTACTTAGGGGATAATATATATATATATTACTTTCTTAGGGTACTGTGATTAATTCTTAGTGTAGATACACTAATGTAACAGGCTGCCACTAAACTATATTCAGGAAATAATATTAAATCACACATACTGTACCACCGTATCAGGCCAAAGTATTGGTGACTATGTGACAAAAGTAGAGCTGTAAATCTTCAAATCTTTCCTTTCGTGGCTATAATTATTGACATGCAGTTGATCAATAAATAGCCTACAGCAAGCCTAAGAACATATTAATTGCTATTGGTTTAGAAGGACATTTTCATACATCAAAGCAATTTTAGGTGAAAAAATATTAAAGTAAAGCTAAAGCTTTCTCTTTACACAATGTGATGAATGTTGCAGCATTGAGTATAGGTCATTTGTGAGAGGTACTGTATATGTTGATGCCTAGTGACAGATACATCTGTTCAGGACTAAAGTGTTACTTCCTCTTTAGCATCTCCAGCAGAGCCTGCATGCTTGGTCAGTTATGAAAAGACATTGCATAACTTATTGGCATCTGTCAATGATTGAGACGTTTATCAAATTTTAAAATGGATAAGATCTGCATTATTATGTTCTTTATATATTATATTAATTATATTATATTATATGAATGTACAATGTATATTATTATACATAATGTCTAATCATTAATGTCTAATATATGATTATTATTATTATTAGATTATTTTTCTAAGGCATGTTATAGCCCGCTTCATTATTGATATGGCTATACCACATCTTCTGAAAAGGTGACTGCGCTCAGCACAATGTCTTATTGTCAGCTGATCGTAAGTTTTAGACATTTAGCCATGACAATTAAAAGTATAGATTATGGATATTGAGAATACTGATTTGGCAAACTTCTGTTATATTAGACCCTCTCCTGTACAAAAATACCTATACTCTCCTTCCTTATCTAGGCAGATTACATGCTACTGACTAATTACAAACATACAGTACGTACTATACGTATGCATACATCCCAAAATTAGCTCTCAACCTTCCTGTACTGTACTGACGGGGCCCTGGTGTGAAGCTAAGCTTCTTGCTCTAGCATTGTCAGCTCCTCCACCCTTGTTTGCTATCAGCAGTGTCATGTTAGTTAGTGCTGAGAAGACAGATTAACCTGCTGTCTCTTGGCCATCTGCAGTGAACACTGCTCTTTGAGGCATGGTGATAGTGTATACCAAAGACACTAATTTCTTTTGCATTAAAACTTTGATTACAAAGAGATGTCTTTCCTAGGTAGCCAAGGTATGGGCTAAAATTGAATAATCATTTTCTTAGCAATTAGCATCTTTGTTGATTCAAAATATGTTGGCTTTAGTTTCACCTTAAACTAGGATTTCTTAAGCTATAGCTGAAATGGGATATCCAATTGTCTATTTTATTGTACTCTGCATTTTGCATTTAAGTCATCATCTTGCCATTAAAAGTCATTTAACAATATAATTCACTAGCCACAACACATAACTGTGTTTTTCCAGCAATGCATTTTTAGTGAATTATCAATTTACCACACATGCCAGGTTACAAAACAAAAGACACTTAAATTTGCACTAGCATTTAAATTTGTATTAGAAATTCCAGAATTACCAATTATTATTTGTAATATCCCTACCTAATTTGTTGTATATTTTTCACCTTTTGACAACCAGTTGTGAACCCTGCCAACAGGTGAGAATGAGATATTGTAGACAGACTTCCCCGATCAGTCCACATTCAAGGTGCTCGTCTGTGAGCATCACAGGCAGCACAGCCCCAAACTGTCGATTTATCACAGAGTGGATGAGCGGCCTGTCCCTTACAAACAGCACCATGATCCTGGAAGCCACTGGGGTCAATGTGTCGTTGGGACTCAAGGAAACCATGGCCAATCTAATCCTACCCTACATTCAGTGGTACTCATAAAGTTGTGCTCTGCCAATAGGGGAATCCCAGTCACACTCACAGTCGGGGATGGCATGGCTCAGGCTTGGACCTGCAACACTCAGGTGAGGGGCTTTGTCAGCTGAGCCACTTGGATTCCCTGAGACAGATCAATCTGCCAGACACAGTGCCTTGTAATGTTCTTTTTAGAAGGTTTTAAATCAGTTTCATTTAAGCTTTTATGTACAGTACATACCATAGAAATCCTAAAGCATGAAACCTCATTTTATAAGACGTCATACTGTAGATTCTTAGTGCAGTGGTTTATTCCTTGAAGCTTGACTTTACTGGACAGCTTGTACGTAACAAAAGGAATCTGCCAGTCTTAAATGTTACTTCATTACCACCACAGTGAAAGCCAGTGCAAGCCCATCTCAGCCATGCTACACCATCACCATAGCAACTGCTTGGAATGCATGAGGGCTTGGATTCTTCTGCTGCAGAGTATTCTCAGGTAGATACATTGTGCTTTTTTCCCCCTCTCTCACACACTCTTTCTCTTAAGGGGACTGCAGAGATTAGACAGAGTATTGAAAGAAAGAATCCATCCATTTATATACATTTTTAAGGCAGAAATTGAAAATATCCAGCATCTGGGGTGTATATCCCCCCAAACACATCTGTAATATCTTGTTTCCTCAGAGATTAAAAATGAGAATGTACAAATAGTAATTTCAGAATTAGATCTTTACACATGATGATACTGTTATTTATTTCATGTAATAAATTACATATTCAGATTTTGTGTACATTTTTATATTTTAATAAAAGACAATATGTGAAATGATATATGTTCATTACCATTTACCTGTATCCTACTTTGAAAATAACAAATTCAAAGATCAGAACATCTGATCAGTTCAATGCATTATTAATGTATTTTGATTCTCATTATTCATTGATCAATAAAATGCTTACAGTATTTAGGCATATTGGAATTCAGTTATTGATTAAGCAATGCTAGCAAATTTCTCTGTTTTGTAGCAGCGTGGTTAAATCGATGAAACATATGTCTTGCTGAACTACCAGGGTTACCGAACATTCAGTTTAATTTCAAAATGTGCTTATACCCTGTTTCACCAATTACACCTTGCTGCTTAGCGTGCCTTGCTAGAAACCGGAGCATTGTTTTATAGGACTGGCAGATGAGCACATTACTTGAATTTGAAAGAGTCTCCCAGGAGGACCAAGAATCATCTCAGTATCTTGGCTCATGCTCTTTCAGGTTTACTGATTCTGTTTCCTCAAGCTAAAGCCTGTTCTCCTAGCTTGAGTCTGTGTGAGCTGCCTCATTGCAGCCCTGCCCTCTGCGCTGAGGCTGTGGTTTCTGCTGAGCTGTGTGAGAGAAGGAGGACCACATGCTTACGTGTGATGTAATTCATTATATACAATTTTCCTTCTGTCGTTTCACAGGTGCCTAGAAACCCTGTAAGCAATCTGCTAAACCAAAGTGGAAGATGCCTCATGAAGTAAGCCCGAAACTGAAATAGAACTATCAAGTCTCAGCTGGTGAAGCACAAAAATCTGCAGTTCCTGTTTTCCTCCAGGATAAAAAAACCCCAAATACTCCCAGACGGAGAAGCTACAGAGAGAAATAACTATGTGAATACACCAGACTTTTTGCTGGTTTGCTGTGAACATCCTGGAAGATTCGACTGAAAATACCTGGTTAAAGTATGTAATGGACTACAAGGTTTGCCTGCACTGAATCACTGAAGCCTGCCCAGTAATTGTAAGTACTTAATGATAAAATTTTGCAATCCAAAATGGTAGTATAACTACCTCCAGTCTCCATATCTCTGACATAAAATGTTTAACTTAATACTATGAAACGTCAAAACACATCTTTTGGTTTGTTCTGGTCTTCATGTTTCTTACAGGTTCTGCTCATGTGCATATTAAATCATCATGGTTGAATATTTCTGAAAAGATTTGCCCACAACTTATTCATAACTTTAGGAAATATCTGAAATTTGAATTGAGGCTGTTTTTTTCTGTGTTACATTTTGTTCTTGCAATTTAGTTGCTTAGGTAAGTTCATATGAGTAATGAGTTTATATTTGCATCACATTATTGGGTATTGATATTGTTAAGGCTGCTTAGGAATTTCATAAACTACTCATTTGCTAAAATATGAATCTAACTACAAACTGAAATAATGTACTGACTAAATAATATTGTTGTTTTTCTAAATTAAGAAACACTAGTATCCACTTCCTTAAGAGTAATTTACATTTGCAATGGAGTGGCTCTAAATCAGGGCACAACTTCAACCACATATTTTGTGAAACCTTTATATGGATCAGTCTTAAACTACATCTATATCTTGCAGTTTCAGCTGGGAAGTTGGTTAGTGTATGGTTGTGAGTTCAAGCCTCACCGGGACCTGTGTTAACATCCATCTTAGCAATTCTATAGCTCAGGTCTCGTAAACTAGGGGTCTTGAGTTCAAAACCTAGTCCAACATTACAATGTTTATTTCTTGGCTTCTTTTAAGATATGGCTGGATGAGCTCCTTAGATTAATTAACTAATGTCTGCCAATTGGGCTAAATGGGCTGGATGGCCTCCTCTCATTGGTAACCTTTCTCAAATAAGTTCCTTATATGTAAGATAGTAGGTGACACTCTGAGTGCGGGTCAACCCACAGTATAAGGGCTGAAATACAGTATGTGAGAATGGTGATACAGTATATGTTTCAAGGTGAGGGAACACAGTTTATTCAAAACATTTAACTACAGCAGATTATTGAAGTAATTGGAGAATAAGCACATTATCTCTTACAAGTAATTGAGTTTAATGATGGATTCAAGAGGAAAGTATTTGATTCATTTATACTATTGAGAAAGTGAGAAAAATGTATTGTTGGCTATGTAATAGGTTGGCTGTCATAGGTTTTCCAATCTTCTTTATCTCTATGTTTGATGAGCCTTCTACTAACTAATTCTGAGCCAATTAATCAGTTCTTTTTATTTCATGATGTTTTGCAGACATAAGCTAAAGCCAGGTCCTTTTGTGCATACTGCTTAGTTTCAGTTATCACTTTGTATTAGGTATAACGTAGCTGGAGAATTTACATAGTATTTGCTCTTCAGTGTATCAGTCTGTTTTTATTTGTACAAAGTGAAATTATCTGAAATTGAATAATAGTTTATCAAGACTTGTTTCAGTGTACTGTGACTTTACATTTGGCTTTTTTGTTGATTATATTTATTTGAGGAAGGGATGTGTAGTATTATTGGTAAGTGCTCCAGGATTAATCCGTGATGAATGAATAGGGTTAAAGTCTGTGTTAGTCTGTTGGAAAGGGTTTGATCTGGGACCTGTTTGAGGTCCCTCTGCAACGTTTCCCTGTGGCACAGCACAGGAAGACTATCTTACTCTGTTCAGGAAACAGTCAGCACCACTGAGCAGATGGAGAGAAGCATTTGCTTATGTTGCAGAAAAAAACGAAAAAGAAAACCTTGAAGGAAGAGTGGATATGACTCAATCAGATGTCCCCAAAGTGCGTAAAGCACTGGTGGTGGAAGGAGAGTTATCCCTAAGTAAGCCAGAAAAAGATAAGGAAAGGACCTTTTTCAAATGCTAGGAAGTTCTTCTTTAGCAAAACTGTGATTGCAACCTTTGGGTTGCAGAAAAATAAACACGGACACCAGGAAGTTAAGGATTTTGTCTAGCACTGCTACACTGGTGGGTATGAGCTGAAAATTCTATAGTATATCGAATAGCTTTAAGGATTGAGTTGAAGACTTGCAAATATTTTAATACATTGCAGTTTACCAAATTTCTACTGTATCTTTTTAATTTCAATGCATTATCAGAATTTATTAAATTGTTATCACTATGCAGAATTTAAACGAAAGGACTCTTGGTGGATGGCCTATTTTTTTATAAATCATCAGCTATATGCAGAAAAGTCTTGAAAACTGGTATGAATAAATTAAAAATAGCTTTATTTTAGAGTACCTCAAAGTTGGTCAGATAATCTTGTCGACTGCCTATAACATTCCAGGACTTAATTCCAGACTCTGTAACCAAGAGCAGAGAACTGTTCAATCTGAAATCAAAATGTGAATATTTTTTGCTTACTTTCTGAGGTGATCATAGTTTTTTTGAGCCTCTTCATATCCCACATGGTAGTACAGAAATAATACTATTGTGAATTTTGTGGTGAATAAAGTTAGAATTACAATTCAATATTGGCTCCGGCCTGGTTAATTCAATTTTAAACTGAAGAAAGTTCATGTCCCATAAATAATAATAATAATAATAATAATAATAATAATAATAATATCATTATCATCATTTCTAATAGAGGGGAGCAAATCTGGGATCTTAAAATCAGAGGGTGTGTCTGAAATGAGAGAGTGTGCCTATTTTCTATCTGCCATCAATAATTCATACATAGCGTGTGGGCAAATAAAAATCATTTACTGCTTTTCTTAGTTTCTCAACTGCAAATTTAAATTGTAGCTTTCTGCAGTGACATTTTTAAAACACGCTGAGAAAACCATCAGGGAAACCACTCGGACCTATTTCAGTGTTTCCTGTTAAAACTTCGCCAGCAAGACCAGCCCTCTCATAATCAGCCTTATAGCAAAGCCCAGGTGCTGATTTGTTTCTGCAGTTTTGCATTGCATTTTCTTTCCTTGTTTAGTTCCATATAACAATATATTGTGTAACGTGTAATGTCTAGAACTCTATGCTGTCTTCCCTTGAAGCTTTTATTGAGCTGAATTATATCAAACAAATTTGCCCTAAACTATCAACTATATAAGTTACACAAAGTGTAAAGTTAACAACATGTCAGCATGAATCCAGTTAAAGTGCAATGTACTGTATAAAGCCGTCATGAATCCAAAGCTCCATGCACACTGCAAAGGTGTATTTGCTTTTCGAAAGTTATAAGACAGGGAGAGACTTAAAATCATACTGCCTTAATAGAAATATTTCAATTTCTAATATATCTTTATGCAGTTGCACAATTGTTTATTTTAAATACATGCAAAGATTTAAATATCAGTATCAGAGAAAAATGCTGGAAATACTATTTCATAACTAAATTTGCCTTTCTAGACAAACGAAGGTTGACTGAATGAAAAATCCGTTTTCTTAGATGAATGTAAAAGTTGCTGATACCTTTGCATAGAACATTATGTTATCAAGTTACTTCACATGATAATTTTCTGTTTTCTGTTACATGGCCGTTTTTATCCAAACAGTGGGAAAATCAACCTTTTAGAGCAGAAAGGCCTCCTCATCTATAAACTTAAACTTGTCGCCACTCATTAGCATATTGTTTACTGTACAGGAGGCTGCTGTACCAAGCAGCTGGGGTATTTCAGAGGCTTTACTGGCATGAGTAGGGGGTGGATAGAGTACATCCTGTTTCCAGTAGGATCCTGTTTATAATGTTGCTGAGGAACACAATAGCCTCAGCTGGAAGCCAAACTTTAAGTTTAGGCCTACAATCACTCTGGTGCTCTGAGCGCACTTGCCATGTGTTCAGATGACAGGATGCCACATTAAAATTCTGAAAAAGATAAGCCAGTTAAATAAAAAGTAATGTCATATACTGTATGTATATATAATTATCATCCTTATTCATATTAAACTATGAATATTTTTAATTTAAGTCTGATTATATTTTATTGCTAACCTGAAGAAGAATTATTCAGAAGGTATTTATAATATTTTTAAGTACACTTATCTTTTCAACTACAACATCAGATTGAAAATATTAATGTGCTGCATCCTCCTAAAATTTCATTCTGCCAATAAATGTTTTTGACATTATTTATTGCGCACAGACATTATTTGCTGCATAAAATTACTTTCTTTTCAAGAGCATGTATTAAGCATGTGGTTCACTGCTTTCATATTTATTTCTCTCCAGATGGTGGTTGTAACATTCACCATTTGATTTGATTTATTTATATATAACTACATAATACTGAAAATCTTTCTTATTCTGGTTGTAGAATGTGCACACAGAAAATTCTGAAATATATAATTCTGCTTAAAACTCTCACACTACAGAGCTTTACTCCTCTGTCATAGCTATCAATAAGCAATCTATTAACACGCTATTAATGATGATATAAATAGTTATACTGTTATGATTCTGGCAATGGTCAGGAGAAGGGATTTGTTAATGGAATCCAACTGATCTGCAGCAGAGTTATTTATTATCACATTTATCACTCATAATAATTTAAAAATAAATTTCAGTTCTGAAGCATTAAAATGTATTACAATAAATTTGCACCCCTTAAACTAACATGTTACCATTGAAGCTGAGTTGCAGGTTTACACATGTACTCTAGAAAGTCTCAGAGAACTTATTTCCTCTTTCTCTTATACAAGCTGGGTTAAAGCTTGCATTTTAAACAAATCCAGCATCCGCAGCAGATACACCGTGATATCCCAACCATTCTGAAATGCCCTATATATCTCTGACCAAACCACTCTGGTGTGTAGTGTGAGGGCTAAACACAAGAAGACAAGATAAATAAGCTTTTGATTAAAGGCCTACAAGGCTAAGCAATTTAGTTGTTGATTCTCAACTGGTTTCAAGTGCTTTGATCTGAGCCTCTTAATCTTGCAGTGTCTGGTTCATCCAGGCTGTAACTAATAAGAAAATGACGTCAAGGGTCTGGTTTGTGAATAGAGATGAAGGCCTTTATAAAGAAGATATAACTAGGATTACATTTCTAGTTTGTTTTATATCCAT